TAAATGGCTAGGGTGGCTGTTGTTGGGGCCCTCTTGAAGAAAATTTCAGGTGGGGAGACTTGGCCTTTGAGTTGAGCTTGGTATTAAGGGCTGCCCAGTGTTATGGTCAGTTGTTGGGACACTGAAATGTAGTGTGTGCACAGTGTTCTGTGGAAAAAGGTGATCCCTCCTTGATCATAGTGGATTTGCAACATTTTTGTAAAATCTGTGTTGGTTGGCATAAACAAGCACTTGTGGCAGCAGCTTAGACAGTTTATAACTAGATGGTCATTTGTGCTTGTTCGTCCTTTGGGAGTTTGAGACTTGGTCAAATTGGTTATTAAAGGCCATGTCAGGTTCTCTTGCAGATACCAAGGCAGCAGGAGAGCATGGAAAAAGGTCAAACTATGTTAAAAAGGAGAATTATTGATTGTACAAGAAAATCTGTCACTTTTCTCAATACGGGCAAAAAATTATAGATTATCTTTAAAATCTACATGCCGTTTTTAGGCTCCATTGCAGTTGTTTGCCTCATATCATCCTGTGTATGGGTATCCTAAAACCGAATCTATGCTGAGATATTAACTGGAAGCTACATTACATCTTGCTTGGATGGCAAAATGCAAGTCATAGAAGGGCCCAGAACCTTAACATTTCTAGAGAAAATGCTGCTTTAAAGTATATGTGAACGCTCACCTTGTAAAACAATGCATTCAGTTAAAAATAAAAATGAAAAGCAAAATATTTTGTGTTCAAATATAAAAAAAAAAATATAAATACCCCTCCACCCCCATCCTTTTTATAAGTGATCACATTCCCTTTGTTTTCAGCTGCATAAAAGCTTTGAGAGGTGAAACAGCAGTACGGTGATCTTCCCAGTGAATGGCTGTGCAGGAGAGAGGGTGTCAGGACAATTCTGATCATTGCAGGGAAGCAGGCTGAGTTTCCAGCACAGCTAGAGAACTGACCATGTGTTTTCTTTTCTCTTGCCAAATGTGGTCAATTTTTAAAGGATAAATTCACCTTTGGAAACATGTTATGTGTTCCATCCAATTTTAGGGTGGAACATGTAACCTGTTCCCGCTCCTGCAGCAGCTCCATGATCCGAGCCCTGTGAGTGACCCCCACCTATCCTGGCTTCCAGCTCTGATGATCCCATTAGTCTACAGGCCAATGTGATGAATTGCTCATCTTCCCCATTCAACTCATGATTGGGAGGCCAACACGGTTTGATCTTTTGTTTTTGTTTTTTTTTTTAATTTCTATTTCTTATGTATTTTTTATTTTGTTAATTGACATGGCCTCTCCACAGATATTCTGTGGAACATCACTCCTGAGAAAGTGAACGCTGCTTCAAAAAACACTTCGCATGTCAGAATATCATTTGTCTAGCCCACTAGCCCAGGGGGTGGGCAAGCGTTTTGACTTGAGGGCCGCAATGGGTTCATATATTGGACCCGGGGGCCGGACCAAGAGTAGATGAATGATGTGTATGTGTCATCCATAGTAAGTATAGTAATATTCCCCCATAGTAAGCATAGTAATTAATCCCCCATATAGTAATTCATCCCCCATATAGTAATTCATCCCCCATATTAAGTCCCCCCTGTGTCAATTCACTTACCTTTGCTCCGCGCGTTCCTCTCGCCGTGTTCCCGCGCCGTGTTCCCGCGCCGTTCCGGTGTAGCATGAAAATCTGTCTCCTATGAGGATCTGTCCCCCTCGACGTATCTGCGCATGTGCCAGTTTCAGGCATTAGCAGCCGATCGGCGATCTCCGGCACATGCGCAGATACGTCGAGGGGGACAGATCCTCATAGGAGACAGATTTTCATGCTACACCGGTCTTCAGGGTGGACTGTGAGAGGAGCCTAGCTCCTCGGGCCGGATTAAAAGGTCCGCCGGGCCGTAGTTTGCCCATTGCTGGTCTAGCCTGTTATGTGTATACACTATGCTGCAACTAGCCATCATATTTTGATGTGCCTTTTGGCATTTTATTATGTTTTTTTAATCATCTTTGTATGTGAATAAAAAATTTTTTTGTTTTTTTTCTTTAACCACTTGCCTACCAGGCACTTATACCCCCTTATTTACCAGGCCAATTTTCAGCTTTCAGCGCTGCTGTACTTTGACAATTGCGCGGTCATGCAACATTGTACCCATATGAAATTTTGATCATTTTTTTCTCACAAATAGAGCTTTCTTTTGGTGGTATTTAATTGCCACTGGGGGCTTTACTTTTTGCACTATAAATAAAAAAAAGTGCAAAAAATTTGAAAAAAAAAAAAGTTTCTTTTGTTTCTATTATAAAATTTTTCAAACAGGTAATTTTTCTCCTTCACTGATGTACGTTGATGAGGCAGCACTGATGGACACTGATAGGCGGCACTGATGGGCACTGATAGGCAGCACTAAAGGGCACTCATAGGCAGTACTAATGAGGTGTCACGGATAGGCGGCACTAATATGCAGGACTGATAGGCGGCACTGATAGGTGACACTGATGATGGGTACTGATAGACGGCACTGACTGGCATCACTGCTGGGCACTGACTGGCGGCACTGACTGGCACAACCCCTGGGCACTGACTGGTGGCACTGCTGCACTGGTGGGGCTGCACTGGTGGGTGGCACTGCTGGGCTGCACTGGTGGGTGGCACTGGTGGGCAGCACTGGTAGGTGGGCACAGGTGGGCACAGGTGGGTGGCACTTCTGGGCACAGGTGGGTGGCACTGCAGAGTGGCACAGGTGGGTGCACTGCTGGGCACAGGTGGGTGATCTGCTGGGCACAGGTGGGCGGAGCTAGTGGGCGCACTGCTGGGTACAGGTGGGCGGAACTTGCGGGTGGCACTGCTGGGCACCGATCATCAGGGCACTGATCATCAGTGCCCTGATGATCGGTGCCGATCCCCGCTCTGACAACTGCCGGTTCTCGGCAGTACTTTCCTCACGATCTGACAGCGTGAGGAAAGTGCAGCCGAGAATCGGCACTTGCATTTCCCTCTGATCAGCGTGTCATTGGACACCGCTGATCACGTGGTAAAAGGCCGCTGTGATTGGCCTTTTACCACATCACGTGATCAGCTGTGTCCGTAGGACACAGCGATCACGGAGATCGCCGGGTGCGCGCCCCCTGGGGCGTGCAGGAGAGCGCGTTCTGGGAGGACGTCATATGACGTCCACTCAGAACTGGCCGGCCGCAGTGCAGCCGTCATTCGGCTATCTGCGGTCGGCAGCTAGTTAAACAAAATTCGACGTGCTGTTTAAAAAGTGCAGTCTCCCTAAAATCCCATGGGCAATTTTTTGTAATTGAGAGTTCTCAATGCTTTGCAGGCTCCTTAAAAAAATGCATTTTTTTTTTACCTGCAAAAAGGTGCATTTATTTTTAAGGTGAACTTATCCTTTAATAGGAAAACAAAGGGACTGGCAGGAACACCAGAACAGGATACTTTTTTTACAGGTACATGGTGCAGCAGGCACCTATTATTAGGAATATGAAATGTTGGGTTTACATATTCTTTAGGTTCTTTCTAGTGCTGAACACATAACAAACAGATAAATTCGTTTTCTAGCTTTTATGCAGATCCGCTGGCTTTAGCAATTTTTTTTTTTTTTTTTTTTTAATTTGCTGACCTGAAGAAGAATGAAACCGTTCATATTTGCATACTTTTTCATGACTGTGGTTCATAATACTTAAAGGGTATGTTATCAAAAATCTATAAGTGTGAATGGAGTAGGGTGCAACTGCTGATTGATGATGAAAGTTGTCCTGCGAGGCCATTCGATGAGGGAGGGGAATCAGAAGAGGCCATACACAGATTAAAACTAGGCCAGTCCCTGCTGAAATTTCGATCAGTCTGTACCCACCTTTTAATGTCCATCAGGAAAAGCGGGTGTACGTCGACTTACTACATTCGCATGTAGACCGCCCTTGGTTACAACTACATATGATACTGAGCCTCTATGATGGAAAGAACTGCAATCCAGTGAATTAAAGGGGCAGTCCAATACAGTAGAGCTGGAGAGGAAAGGTCTAAAAAGGCGCTGCTGGATCCAGGAAGGGGGTTGGGCTCTATATGACTTTCTGCAGCTTTTAATTTGAGAATGAGAAGCTCACAGTGTGCAGTGAAAGCACAGTAAGCGGTTTTAATACAAGAGATCAGCCTGTACAACTGTGCCAGTCTGGAGATCAGATTTTTTCAGATCGGAACTAAATGAGTGTGTTGAAATGCTCATTTCTTGCACTGTATATAGAAAAAAGTGCCAGGTCTACATTTACTGGTCCCTTAATCTCTTAACTACTTCTCACATCCATGCTGGATTTGAAGTTGCTTGTTCCTGTGTCGTATGAAATGACATAATTGTCTAAAAAGTTTGATCACCTCCTGACTGTGTTTTGACTTGTCACTTTTTCTTTGATTGATACATTGTGATACATTGTGTTGGAGATGGGGTGTGTGTGTGTGTGTGTGTGTGTGTGTGTACACCGTGCTCAAAAAAATGAAGGGAACACTTTGCAAAAACACATTAGATCTCAATGGGGAAAAATATGCTGGATATCTATACTGATATGGACTGGGTAGTGTGTTAGGAACGTAAGGATGCCCCATCGTTTCATGGAAACGAAAATTCTCAACCTACAGAGGACTGAATTCAAAGGCCCCCAGAAAATCAAAGTGAAAAAATGATGCAGCAGGCTAGTCCATTTTGCTGAAATTTCATTGCAGCAACTCAAAATGGTACTCGGTAGTTTGTATGGCCCCAAATGCTTGTATGCATGCCAGACAACGTTGGGGCATGCTCCTAATGAGACGACGGATGGTATCCTGGGGTATTTCCTCCCAGATCTGGACCAGGGCATCACTGAGCTCCTGGACAGTCTGAGGTGCAACCTGGCGGTGTTGGATGGACCAAAGCATGATATCCCAGAGGTGTTCTATTGGATGTAATTCAGGCAGGCGTGGGGCCATGTACTGGTATCAATTCCTTCATCCTCCAGGAACTGCGTGCATACTCTCTCCACATGAGGCTGGGCATTGTCAAGCAACGGGAGGAACCCAGGACCCACTGCACCAGCGTAGGGTCTGACAATGGGTCCAAGGATTTCATCCTGATACCTAATGGCAGTCAGGGTGCCATTGTCTAGCCTTTAGTGGTCTGTGCGTCCCTCCATGGATATGCCTCCCCAGACCATCACTGACCCACCACCAAAATGGTCATGCTGAACGATGTTACAAGCAGCATAACGTTTTCCACGGCATCTCAAGACCCTTTCACATCTGTCACGTGCTCAGGGTGAACTTGCTCTCCTCTATGAAAAGCACAGGGTGCCAGTGGTGGACCTGCCAATTCTGGTGTTAAATGGCAAATGCCAACTGAGCTTTATGGTGCTGGGTAGTGAGCACAGGGCCACTGGAGGATGACTGGCCCTCAGGCCACCTTCATAAAGTCTGTTCCTAATTATTTGGTCAGAGACATTCACACCAGTGGCCTGCTGAAGTTCATTTTGTAGGGCACTGGCAGTGCTCATCCTGTTCCTCCTTTCACAAAGGAGCAGATACCATTCCTACTGATGGGTTAAGGATCTTCTACATCCCTGTCCAGCTTTCCTAGAGTAACTGCCTGTCTCTTGGAATCTCCTCCACGCTCTTGAGAATGTGCTGGGAGACACAGCACACCTTCTGGCAATGGTACGTATTGATGTGCCATCCGGGATGAGTTGGACTGCCTGTGCAACTTCTGTAGGGTCCAGGTATTGCTTTATGCTACCAGTAGTGACAGTAACCCTAGCCAAGTGCAAAACTAGTGAAAAACAGTCAGAAGAAATTAACGGGAAAAAAAAACCTTTAGAACCATTCCTGTTTTGGGGGTCATCTCATTGTTGCCCATCTAGTGCACCTGTTGTTAATTTCATTAACACCAAAGCAGCTGAAACTGATTAACAACCCCTTCTGCTACTTAACTGACCAGATCAATATCCCAGGAGTTTCATTGACTTGATGCTATACGCTGATTAAAAAGTGTTCCTTTAATTTTTTTGAGCAGTGTGTATATGTGGATAGATGGATGCTTTTATGCATCTTTTTTTAATTTAAAACCATTTTAATTTGGGGGGAAAAAAAGGTACAATGTAATTGAGCCAACACTGTTGTTTCCCTGTAACATCAAGTTTACTGCCTGCCCATACTGAAAGGTGTACTTTAAAGTGATAGAGAATGGCTTTACAGAGGTCATCAATGGCAGGTCCTATATTTCTGTGTTCTAGGTAGATAGGAAAATGAAGAATGTGGGGGAGTCAATACTCAAGGTTTAATCTGGAGCCACTATCCCCTGCAATACCTCTTCTCTGCCACAAGATGTCTTTTACGTTGAAGGATGACCATCTTTTATTCTCTGACTGCCATGGATGGACATAATTTGACATGCCACTTTGAGGGGCAGGTCATGACCATGGCCTGGGCTCAAGTCAAATGTTCACATGGGCTCCAAGCTGTCCAGGAATAAGCAACACCCCCTGCTGAAATGTAAGCAGAGGTAGGGCCCATTACATAACTGGACTGTTCTGAAGACCTAAGGAAAAAATAAAAAAGCAGCAAGGGAAAGCAGAGGAAAAGTGAAGTTGGGGTTTTGGTTCGTGTGTCACTGGCCTGGAACAAGCTTGTGTATATGTGATGTTTTGACATTACCTGGCTGCCTGCTGGTTACAGGTCATTGGTTCACTAAGCAGTGAAGTGATTATCCTGGAGTTTCCACCTCCCCCCCCCCCCCCCCCCCCCCGAAAAAAAAAAATTAGCAGGAGCTACTCATATAGTTCTATCTTGATTAGCCCATTTATCCTGCAACTGAAACATGGGAGCTGTCGAGTACTATTTTTCTGCCTGTCACCCTTGGGATGAACGTGGTACCCAACCCCTGACCTTCTCACCAACTCTTGACAAAGGACATCTCACACCACACAGTCACGTATCAATGCCACTGTCTGGTGCACCTGACACACAGATTTTCCACCTCGCAGTACCACAACTTAGGTGCCATCAGCCTGAGAGCAATTGTCACTCTATATACCGATAAAAAGTGTTACAAAGAAATAGAGACCATAAAGCAACAGAGAATTAAAAAGGAGTTGAAAATGAAGAATACTTGCAAAGTCCTTGAAAAACTGTACAATGGCTCTCTCAAGTCTGGTTAAGTGTTCCGTGGTTGTTGATAAATGAGAGCTATCAAATCTGCTTGCAATCTTCTTTTTTTATCTAACATCAAAGGGGGTGTTGACAAAGGCCATCTGACCAATTACACGATTTAAGGGGTGGTGGCTTGGAGGTCACCACATTTATGACTGTATCAGGTCCTACCTTACATACTGTTTTTATACTGAAAATGATCTCTCCCACAATGTACAGGTTGCATTCTAGAAACTGGTAGAATATTTTTCAACATTAAAGTTCGTGTCCAAAGATACCAAGCAGAGTATTTCAGTATTTCTGTCACCCAGGAGGTAGCAAACTGGTATCTCCCTTTTTCGTATGTGCTAACTTAGTCATATATGACCTTGTTTAGATCGGTATGATGTTCCCCATTAAAATATATACTTCATATTAATGTGTCTTGGTCTTGTTGGATTTTAATTATTATGTGTGGATTTTGTTAAGTTGTGAATTGGGCAGAAGTCGTCCATGCCTGGATGCTTATTGTGTAGATGTTTTATGGCACACTATGTGTTCCTAGTGCTTGAATTGTCCTACATATCTTGTGCCAGAAGTGATGGATTTTGTCTTTGTTTTATGATAGGTCAGAGGGAAGTGATGTGTGCGTGTGTTTTTTTTTTTTTTTTTTTTTTAATGGTCCGTAGAAACGGGCATCCTGCCAGTACTCAATTAGCTGTTTACAGCTCTGACCAAGGCCTGTGTACTGGTGTCTGCTGTCCCTAAGTTGAGAAAACAGGCTCTTTAAAAGTGTGAAGTTAAGGCTATGAATTCCATATATTGTAAAAGGGAAGG